GGAGGAGCTCCTCCGGACGGGGCTGGAGACGCGGCAGGTGCCGAGGGAGCGCTGCCGGATTCAAGACACTGGACGACCTCCTTGTAAGGCTTGCCGTTAGGGTTCCACACAATGCCGTTGTTGTAGTAATCCTTGGCATATTCCGACAAGTCTTTGAAGATCTGGTAGAAGGTCTTGACCCATTCTGTATGCTGGGGGTCAGTGTTTTTGTTTGCCTGCATGACTCTGTTACCCAGGTATTCGGCAGATGACAGGCTTTCTTCAATGAGCTTGTCAGGCCTAGACTGAACAGTGATCCAAGCGAGGAGCATGATTCCATCGGCCACCATGCCGAGGTGGTTGAAGAAGGGAGAACCGCGGTTCTTGTCCTTGATTTCCTGAGTGGCCTGGATGGCCTCGCTGATAGGCTTGATAGCCTCCTGGAAATCGACCGAGTTCATGTCGAGCTTCTTAGACTGGGAGGCGGCGAGTAGGAACTTGCGCGTCTCGACAAATCCCTTGAGGACACTCGTAGCCTAATTAAACCGGTCAACCTTCGTTCTCTGCCCACAAAATAGATCCAGAACTATGCAGAATACGTACCTGCTCAGCAACCAAGCCACCGATAAGATTGCTGGTCTTAACATATTTCTGAACAGTTTGGTTCAAGAACTCGTCGAACTTCTCGACAGATTCGGGAATTGGTACTGCGGCAGCGGGTGCGGGAGTGGACACAGCAGTGGACGCGGGGGCGGAGGGGGCGGAGGAAGCCGGCTCAATGACGGCCTGGGAGCCAATAGGGGGGATGGTGGACGAAGCCATATCCTCCAGACGGAGGGTGGCCGCCTCAAGTCTGCGCAAGTACTTAGCAATGTGCCTTGACCACTATTCACTCGTAGTCTTTTTTTCAATTTGCGCCGATCCTCCTGGCGCATTCCTTGCCCGGGGACTGGCTCCTCGTCGTCGTAGCCGCAGAGCGGCTCCCATGGAATCGGCATGGCTAAGGATGCGCCAGGTAAAATGATGGGTAATACGGGTGTTGTAGAAGAAAGCAACTACTCGTAGGCGTCTGGCGATATCAAGTTGCGGTAAAGAAAGCTGAAGCGTACCTCTTGATCAAGGTGACCAAGTTGTGCATGTTGTTGGTCGCCATTGTGATTATGATGGTCCCTTAGGCGGGACTTTGGAAACGTAGTAGGCTTCGCTGTCGAGTTATATAGAAGTTGGAAGGAGCAAGGTGTACTCTGTTATTAGAACTGTCGGTGCCAGCTTGCGGTATTAGCGATCCTGCCTTGATGATGATGATGTGAAGAGAGTGCCTTGGGCAGACCCGGATACCTCCGGTGGAAGAGGAAGAGGGCTCGTTGAAACAGAGGGAAGGTAACGTCCTGGATATCTTGATGAAAAGCACTTACCCTTTTCGATGAACCGTATAATTAACAAAAAATAAGACGGAAGATATCGCTAGATGGAGAAAGAGGAAGAAAAGAGTCCTGAGACTTGAACAAGGAGGAGGTCAGGGAAGGTGTTGTTAGGTGCCCCAAGATCTGCTGCCGTGCTGGAACATGGGATGTCTGAAGGTTGACGGTCCGGGCTGACAACTCGTCGATTGGAACCCCTCGTCACACAACCCCTACCTAGCACGGGCATCTGCCCCTGGCGCCTGCCATGCTTGTACACTACGGGCGGCCACAGTGTACGGGGCACACCTTCTGTAGACGCACGCTAGGTGATGAGCTGCGAGTAGGGGTCGATAGATACCGTAAATCTGGGACTTTTACCTTACTTTACACTTTTCCTTACTATAAGACACGCAAATATCTGTGCGCAGAGTCCGTACGCCCATCTAGATTCTACAATATAGCAGTTAACTCTAGATAATCTCTGGCGCTCTTACAACTAAGTTAATCGCTAGAATTACCACATTTTTACATACCAATTTACCTCCTACTCTCGCTATTACCAGCTCTTTATTTATATTATATAATAATACCTCCCTAGTAATATCTTTAAACTATATAAAGGGAGTTCAACCTTATTAATAACCCTAATTATATTTACTAGTATACCCTTTACCGTTACTATTAATATCGAGCTGCTACTAATATTACCTGCCTTTATAACTATCTTGTTAAATATAAAGGGTATACCTTCAATTATGTATAATAATAAGTTAATTAACATAAGGATATATAGTAGTACGCCCTTACGTTAACCGACTAGTAGAAGGAGAAAATCGACCTCTATACTACCGAAGTTATCCTTCTTAATAGTAAGGGATTTACCCTTTTTAAAAGTAGTCCTATTAGGGTATTTCTCTACTCCCTTATCCCCCCCTATACTCCGCCGACCGTAGTAATAATACGTAACGAATAGTTACCTAGAATCTATAATTCTATAAAGTAGTAATTGAGGTCTACCTTTATTAAACCTACCTAGTATATTAATATCTTCTTTAATAAATCTAATAATTATATTAATTATTATATTATTAATATCTTCTTCGCTATACCTAACGGTCTATTATTCTTCTAGACTAATAAAGATACTAGCGTTATTAAATATACCTCCGCTAACCTCGCCGCTATTGTTAGCGAGGTTATCGTCGATATAGTAGGAGGTTAAATAGGCAAAATAAATATATTTATTACGGATATTTATAATACAATATAGTACGCTACTTAAAATTAAATTATTAATAACTATTTTAAATCTACTTTTATAGTTCTTTATAATTTTCACTCCTTCTAACTACTTATAAAAAATATACTCAATATCCCTACTTTTAAAAATATTACTCAAAAAGTTAATTACTTAATTAATTACTTCCGGGCATCAAAGTTATAATTATCCTACTTAGAAACCTTAATATTATTTTCTAATAGTCGGATTATCTCCCTATTAGCCAAGTAAATTCATCCCTATTTTATTATTATTTATTTAGTATAATAGATTAACCAAATTAGTATAATTATTTAATAGGAATTATAATACAGATCCATCATTTCGATTAAGAAATTAAAGCTCGCTCTACAAGCATTTGCTATACAAGCCCGGTTCTATAACTAGTATTAAAACGCACCGGGCGCACAAAACGAAGGTGCTATACCTATATATTACAATTAAATACTTAATATTATCAAGAATACGCAATTTTAGGATAATATTAAGAAGTTTAAGTACTTCCTCTTACTATTTTACGAAGCTTAATTCGCTTTTAAAGTAGATCGAACGTATATTAACTACGTTATTAAGAGGTAAATTAAAATATAGGGGGTATAGTTACAATTTTAATATTCTATACCCTTTATTAAATAGTAGGAGTTCGAGCGACTCTACGCAGTTAGAAGGATTAAATAATTAAATCCCCTAAACTAATTAGAATTTCTTTTACTACCTTCTATTATAGTAAAGGTAATTAAAATTATTCGCCCACCTATTATAAGCATCCAGGTAATAGCTATTACCTTCCTTTAGTAATATAGTTATTACTTTAATATACTAACTATATGAATTATCGAAGACTTCCTCAACTTTAGAATCCATAAGGGAATATACGTACCGCACGCTCAAATCTTGGAGTTTAACTTTGAGCCTAAATAGTTCTAAGTATATATAATAGATTACTAATCCGTTATAGCACCGTTCGCAATAAGGGTATTCAATATGGTAGCGAATAATATCCCCTATAAACGAACCTTCTTAGTAATAAACTTTCTAAAGTTACTTATATATAATCGACTATTAGGGGAGCGGATGGATTAAGCTACCTTCGTCTTTATAAACGGGAAGTATTTATACTATTTAAATAGTTCCTTCTCTATGCTAATTTACAAGGAGAGAGAGGTATATTTAATAGAGATCGAGGAATGCTTATTTAATAATATACTAGATGATAATTGAGTAGAATGGGAGGATTAAATAAGTAAATAAATTACTATATTAAGAAGCAAGTAAATAAATACTATGAAAAGACTAATCGGTATTTATTTACGTAATTATCTTTTTCTATAGATTTTAACGATTCCAGTAAAAAATTTTAGCTAGTTTTTACTGCCCTACTCGTTTTAGTAGGCAAAAAAACAGCAAAAAATATCATATGACCTGTAAATGTGGTAAGACTTTTTATTTTTACGCTACTTTTACTGAAATTACTTTACTTGACCGCTTACAGGTATTACCGATCGACCCCTAGCTGCGAGGCTGCTTCCCCACGATAGCTTCATAGTGGGGTCATGGTGGGTCGTCTCATCCATCGTTTAAAATTACGCGTTTCGGGACATCCTCCAACAAGAACGAACACCTTGCTGGCCGCTCTCACGACTCTGCACTAGACTAGAGTGCACGGCCACTAAAAACCCGCTGGGCGTACAGGGCACCATCCACGCCTCACCTTACATGAGTTACCACCCCACCGAGCATAAACAACAACAACAACAACAACAACAAGTCACATCGTGCTACTGCAACTGGATCAACAACAAGCACTCTCGCCGTTCAGAAACTCGTTGCTTGTTTAGCTGTGTATATACGAGAACGGTAATGCTGATGCTGAAGACGTGACATGAGTAGGTCTGCACAAGCAGTCGTTTAAGGTATCGAGGATCGAGATGACAGGATCGATCCCATAAACTCCCGCGGGTCCGTCCCCTTTCTCCATTCCTACGCCTCGCAGTAAAAAACCTACCCCAGATAGCTGATTCTAGCTAATAAGATGTCGAGTTATCAAAACATCAGGCTCCTTGTGCTTTATGCCGCCTGATGGTCAGGCAGAAATAGCAGACTAGCAATAGCCTAGCCAGTAGCCACATCACTATACTATCTACATACGCGTCCATCTTTCCAATCTTCATCCCTCCATCGGTGTCTCACTCTCACAACCCCTTTCAGTGTCACTCACTTAGCCCACTCCCACTTGTTGTCCATCATCGCCTGGCCGTGTGCCGGGTCGTACTTGCATACACTCCTTTCAAGCGTCCCTTACAACTGATTGATCCTACACAGTCACCACAGAGAACAATATGACAGACAATAACGGCAACCCGGAAGTGCCCGGCCAAAGTCCAGACGATGTTGACAAAGCCTCGGATGAGAGCTCAGAATGGCAAGATATCAACGACACTCCCTCAATAATAGACTTTGTCACCCTCGGCATGTTCATCATCGGTAAGTGCCCAGGAACCACAATCAGGCACCAACTAAGCACCCCATCAGATGAAATCGAATACCCTCCGCCCCGTCCTCCATCAACCAACGTCTTAGGAGGCGCCGGCTCCTACTCCGCCCTCGGCGCCCGCCTCTTCTCTCCAGCTCCGGACCTCTCCCGCACCGTGGGCTGGATCGTCGATCAGGGCTCCGACTTCCCCCAGGCCATCACCGATCTCATCACCGGCTGGTCCACCTCGGCCGTCTTCCGCCATGACCCCACCCGGCTCACCACCCGCGGCTGGAACGGCTACGTCGGCTCCTCGGAGCGCCGCGAATTCAAGTACACCACTCCCAAGAAACGACTAACGGCCGCCGACCTGGCCGGAACCCCCTTGTTGAAGGCTAAAGCCGTGCACATGGTCTGCAGTCCCAACCGCTGCAAAGAGTTGGTGGAGGAGATCATCACCCTTCGCAAGCGCGAAGCCCGACTTGCTGCTGCCGCCTCCAACAAGAACAACAACAATAACGACAACGACGACGATTGCGACGACGTTGATGACGACGCCAAGGACCCCAACGCCTACACCCGCCCCTTAATAATCTGGGAACCAGTCCCCGATCTCTGCACCCCCTTCGAGTTACTAAACTGCACCAACGCCCTCCCCCTGGTCGATATCTGCAGCCCCAACCACGCCGAGCTAGCCGGGTTCATGGGCACCGACGGCCTCGACCCGGAAACGGGCGAGATCAGCGTTGAGCAAGTAGAGCGCAATTGCGAACAGCTGCTGGCCAGCATGCCGCTGACGACGTACACGCTGGTGGTCAGGGCCGGGGAGAAGGGGTGCTATGTTGCTAAGAATGGGGGGCGAAGGAGGAAACAGCCACCTATGAAGAGGGGAAAGAAGAAGAAGATGAAGGTAGGGCTGGACGCCCGAAACTTCCACGGCGGTCTACAGCACGACACAGACATGATGTCTCTCTTCGCCGGACTTTTGCAAGATATGGAAGACCGGAACAATGAGGATGACCCGTTCGGTCGTTTCGATGTCGAGGAGGGGATCGAGACCGATTCGGGGATCGAGAGGTGGCTACCCGCTTACCATACGGACGCCACAAAGGTCGTCGATCCCACGGGAGGTGGGAACACGTTCCTGGGTGGGCTGGCGGTGGCGTTGGCGAGGGGAAAGAGCATCGAGGAGGCATGTGCGTGGGGCAGCGTGGCAGCGAGTTTTGCCATTGAGCAGGTGGGAGTACCGGAGCTGGGGATGGATGTGGAGGGGAGAGAGACGTGGAATGGGGAGAGGGTGGAGGAGAGGTTGAGTGGGTATCTGGAGAGGGTCGGATTGTTGTGAGAGCTTTTTGTGATGATGATGGAGTGAGAGACGTGACGGCGGGTTGACTTAATCATACCTAACGGCTAGAGATGTTGTCACAAAGATAATGGGGATAAAAGAAAGAGTTGACTCATGGTTATGACCTTTAGGAAACGTATAGACATAGAACGACTATCTGGGTTGGAACTTTCGGAACTTTATAGACCTAACTACCAAGACACACAATGCGCCACGCTCAGCTTTTCATAACAGTGATATCATGCCTTTAAAACGAAAACCCATCATCCCTTGAACTCCAGAACCTGCTAGCTATACGCAGAAAAACCGCTTGAATAATCCATCTTCATCAGGACATCATTCCAACAACGTAATCATTCGTTCATCATCCACAGAAATCACCCTTCTTGGATCCAAGTAGGCATCCAAACTTACTATCATGCCCACTAAGCATTGGTAACTGTCAGCCTCTTCTTATCCTGCCTCCCTCCCTCCGTTATATCCTCCGAAAAGCCAAACCCACCAGCCATGCCCTCCTCAGCCACCTTCCCACTGACATGTCTTTGCCTACCTGCTCCTGCTCCGCTATAACTGAAATCGTAGTCATGGCCAGACGAAACCACCCGGTAATTAGCAGGGTGGCCTGCGAGCAAAGTCGAAGGTATGTCAGAGGTACTAGAATCGTAGGGCTTTGCTCCTCCTCCTCCTCCTCCTCCTCCTCCTCCTCCGCTGCCGCCGGACACGGCAGCAGTAGAAAACAAAGCCTCGGGTTGAATGGAGGAATCGCGGTTCCGCATTGGTTCCTGGCTGTCTGGTTGGAGATGTTGGGTTTTCGGAGGTTGGCGGACTTTCTTGATATTCAACGGGTTCAAATTCAACGGGCGAAGAATCGACTCGCGCAAGCGGCTGAAGGGCGTGATCGACCTTTCTGGCCCCAGCCCCGAGTCGATAATCAGAGTCGGCGAAGAAGGGTTGGAGCGCAAGGGGTTGGGGTGCAGGTCTGCGAGATCAATGTCGTCGTCGTCATGGCTGTTTCGGTAGCCCAATTTGTGGTTGTCGCGGGCTGCCCCGGAACGAGGAGGAGAGTAGGGGCTCTGTTGCAGTTGCAAATGCTGATGATCGTCGTCGGAGTCGTGAGTGTCGTAGTAACTGGTTAGGGCTTCATAGGCGCGGTTGCCGCGCTTGTTATTGTTGTTGGCGCCGCCGCCGCCGTTCTTTTGGGCCTCCTTCATGGTGCGGTTGCGCTCGTGGGTGCGGTTGAAGAGGGACTCGGTGGTATACCAAGTTTCTTGGAACTTGCCGCCGCGTGGCTTTTGTGATTGTTGGAGTGGTTTGGTTGGGGACATGGAGGTAGGGGAGGCGGTTAACTGCTCGCCCTTGTTGTACGAGGTGTTAGGTCGACTGGAAGCGAAGCTGTCGCGGGGGTTAACAGCACCCCGGCTGGCGAATGGGACCTGGTCGGAATAGGAGCCGTGATAGGAGGACCGAGGAGGCATAGAACTGCGTGGTGAGTTGCCGGGTGTAATTTGGTATTGGCGTTGTGGGAGGTCTACCGTGACCCGAGACTCGCGCTTGCCAGAAGACCGCTCAGAAAAATCAGAGCTCTGCCTGGTATGCGTGAAGGGTATTGCGCGTGGGCGGACGAGCTCGTCACCGTTGTGAATGCTGGAGTCACGGTGACTACCAGCGACTGTGCCGGGCTGCTTGGCGTCGTCGAGATACGTCGAAATGGAAACGACCGAGGACTTGTTCCTCTTGTGTGCGCGCGAGGTGAGATGATCTTCCAAGGGGTTCATATCCGGCGGCATCTTGCAGATGCGCCAGAACTGGATGGCGAGGAAGATTGAGATACCGATGGAAACCACATGGAGTGCGCCGGCGCCGATCAGTCCGTACTGGACGGCCGGGATGAAGTACTGAAGCACCGACTTATCGGAAAGAAGTGTACCCCACGTAGCGCCATCCTTGCGGATCGTATACACGCCATATGCGTAAACTAGACAAGCGGCAATGTCGACAATAATGACACCAAAATGGTACGCAGCTGTAGACATTGGCGCCCGCGCACCGGCAGGTCGCCGCAGGTGGTAAACGCCATAACCTGTGTGAAGTGTGGCGACACCAAGCTACATGCGAACTATGGTCAGTATGTTGTCTGTGGTGGACAAGATGACACTTTACATACCGCAATCCTGATGATCAAGCCGGGCACATCTTTCATGTTGTTCAACATGATCATAATCACCAGCAAGCCAGCCGCACCAATGAACTGAAGCAGCCTAAAGGCCAACTGAACCTTCCTCATAATGATGATCCATCTTTTGGACCTAGGGCCCATGGGCCGGAAACTCTTGATCGTGCGCTCTGAAGGAGGGAAGGCACTGGATCAATCGCAACTAATTGTCAGTCACCGGCACTTGAAGTATTTCACGACCGACAGCCACCATTTCTCCCTTGCAGTGAGACCCGGGTATGGAAGACTGCATGGAATTCTTTAGCTACATACTCTGGATGGACATTGAATGAGACAAGCGGGCCGTCCGGCTTTGGTTTGGGCTTGGGCTTGTCGAAGCTTGCTCTTGTAACGGCCTTGGGGTCGAACAGTTTTGGTGGAAGACGATCGTCAACACTGTACCTGACGGGGTCGTAATCGTACAGGAAGGGTTGGCTAGGGCCTCCCATTTTGGCGATGGCGCTGCTGTTGTTTTAGAGGTTTGATGCTGAAAACACCGAGCGTTGAAAAGAGATGTGGTTCAGCAATGGAAGGATGAATTACCGGACAATCATTCCGGTTCCATGTGACGACATGTCTGTTGAAGAAATCGGGCTAGCTCAATGGGCCTCAGGGTAGGTTTCTCAAGTCAAAATCCATCCCGTGTCTCCCCCCCACCCTGCAGGAAGACGTCGACGGAACTTGGCTCGCAGTTTTACACTAGAGGGGGGCTGGAAGCTGAGTGAAACTTATCGGCCCCTTGTTGGCTCGGCAACCGCGCAGGTACGCGCTGCCGGGCGCCCGAATGGGCTTGGATGCCCCCAAAGAACCCCTGTCATCGCCCTGGTACAGACCCCGTTCAGCCCGTATCGTCGTTCGGTGGCTGGATGCACCAGTCGCGTCGCAACATGGGCCGGATGGAAGCCGCAGCGACCAATGGCTTTTGATCATTTCCATTTCGTGGAACATGGTCGAGGGAGGAGGTTTTGGACTGCGGTATGTAATCATCCATCAGTGTATGTATCTCGGGATACCTTACATAAATGGTGACGATGGAATGGAGCCTCGTTGACGGGCGGGATAGAAAGAAGGGTGTCCTGGGACCCTGTGCAATGGAGCTGTCAGCGGTGCGCAACTCCGGTCGGTGCCGTGAAATCCGCCAAAGATGTTAACGTTCCCCGGATTTGGAGACCCACAAAACCCGAACTCACGGGCGGTCGAGTCACCTCGTGCCTTCCCGCCGTGCCCGGCTATCCACCGAGATGATCGGCGCTGCAAGAAACATGAGCCATTGATGACCAAACATCTTGAGCTTTGACTCCTAACAGAAGTTCATCTCGTCACATCATTTGCCAACGAATTTGTTTAAATATTTGAACATGGCTTTTGTCGCGCGGGTAAAGCCCGGGGCACTTGGGTTGCGCGGAAAATGGCCGTCGCAAGTACATGCGCCGCGCCGAATGTACTCTCAGCATCCAGCTCACCATGCCACTCCTGAACATCCCCTCCGGGTCGCCGTCATTGGTTCCGGCCCGGCCGGCTTTTATACTACTTACAAGCTTATGGCCAAGATCCAAGGGACAAAGGTGGACATGTACGAGTCTCTACCGGTGCCCTTCGGCCTAGTGAGATTTGGTGTTGCTCCGGATCACCCTGAAGTCAAGGTCTCTCTCCATACATCATCATCTCATACCTGATTTAAAATAGGCAACACACTAACATACCTTCCAGAACTGTCAAGAAAAGTTTGAAGAAGTCGCCTCATCCCCCGATTTCAACTTTATTGGAAATGTCTCCGTCGGCAACAAGTCCGACCACCCCGACGGCCTCACTGTACCTCTCGCCAGCCTCTTCCGGCATTACAACGCCATCATTTTTGCCTACGGCGCCGCTCAGGACCGTAAGCTCGGCATCCCCGGCGAGGACCAGCTAAAGGGCGTCTACTCCGCCCGCGAGTTCGTCGGCTGGTACAACGGCCTTCCCCAGCACGCCAACCTTAACCCGGATCTCACCCAAGGTGAGGAAGCCGTCGTCATCGGCCAAGGCAACGTAGCTTTGGACGTGGCCCGCATGCTCCTCGAGGACGTCGACGTCCTCCGCAAGACCGACATCGCCGCACACGCGCTCGAAACCCTCTCCCAAAGCCGGGTAAAGCGGGTCCACGTCGTCGGCAGAAGAGGGCCTATGCAAGCGGCCTTCACCATCAAGGAGGTCCGCGAACTAATGAAGCTTTCCAACGTGTCCTTCCACCCCGTCGACACCTCCCTCCTCCCACCCGACCTGAAATCCCTTCCCCGCGCCCCGCGCCGGCTGATGGAGATGCTAGCCAAGGGCACCACCGCCACTTCGCAATCACCCTCTGAAACCTCCAAGTCGTGGTCTCTCGACTTTTGCCTGACTCCCAAGGCCTTCTCCCCTTCTTCTTCCTCTCCCGCATCAACCCAACTAGCATCGACAACCTTTGAACGCACCACCCTCTCACCATCCCCCTTCGACCCCAACGCTTACGCCCTACCCACTGGCGAGACCCTCACCCTCCCTTCGTCGATAGCCTTCCGATCCATCGGGTACAAATCCACTCCTCTGCCCGAGTTCTCAGACATCAACATCCCCTTTGACGAGCGTCGGGGGATCATCAGCAATGACGGCCGCGGCCGCGTGCAGCACGAGGAGCGCACCCGCGGGGCGGAGATGTCTCACGGTAGTTTTCCCGGGCTGTACTGCGCGGGGTGGGTCAAGACAGGTCCGACGGGAGTGATTGCTTCGACGATGGAGAACGCATTTGCGACGGCCGATGCGATCATTGAGGACTGGGTGAGCAGGACGCCATTTTTAAATGTGGATCGGAAGGTGCATGGGTGGGAAGGGGTGAAGAATGAAGTGCTGAGCAGCGGGGATGAGAAGAGGGTGGTTGATTGGCAGGGTTGGAGAAGGATTGATGAGGCGGAGAGGGATCGGGGGAGGGAAACGGGGAGGTCGAGGGAGAAGTTCACGAGGACGGGGGAGATGCTGAACGTTCTTGGGTAAGATACGAGAGGCTTAGCGCGTTGGGGTGAGATACCCTGAGCCTGGCTGGGATGGCTGTAGGATATCCAGTGTTTTTTTGTTGTATACTATGTAGCCAAATGGTTTGTACATGTTCTTCTCATTTTTTTATTTCATACAACATACATATCACAGGTATGACTACGCGCTTTTGAGCTTCTCGGTAAGCTCAGGCACCTTCTCGAACAAATCACCAACCAAGCCAACGTCTGCCACCTGGAAGATGGGTGCCTCGGGGTCCTTGTTAATGGCAGCAATGACCTTGCTGTCCTTCATACCCGCCAAGTGCTGGATGGCACCAGAAATACCAACAGCGAGGTAGAGCTGAGGAGCAACGACCTTGCCGGTTTGGCCGACCTGCAAGCTGTTGTCGGCATAACCGCTGTCGACGGCCGCACGGGAAGCACCAATGGCGGCGCCGAGAGAATCAGCAAGGGGGAGCATGATCTTGTCGAACTCCTCCTTGGACTTGAGACCGCGGCCACCAGAGACAACCTTCTCGGCGGTCGAGAGATCGGGGCGATCCGACTTGGCAAGGTCCTCGGAAACCCACTCAGTGGTGCTCTCAGCCTTGGGGTCGACACCATCCTCAACGGCAGCAGAGCCGGAACCGATAGCGGCAGGGGCGAAAGCGGTACCGCGGACGGTGATGATCTTGATGGGGTCGGTGGACTCGACGGTCGCAATGGCGTTACCGGCGTAGATGGGGCGCACAAAGGTGTTCTCGGACTCGACGGCGGTGACATCAGAGATCTGCTGGCTGTCGAGGAGAGCGGCGACGCGGGGCATCAGGTTCTTGCCGAAAGCGGTCGCGCTGGCGAGGATATGGGTGTAACCGCCCTGCTTGATGTTCTCAACCAGGAGAGGAGCGTAGTTCTCGGGGAGGCCCTGTTGGACAAAACGAGTTGCGCCGTGTTAAGTCAACCGATGCACAAACTGACGACAGCCGGGCGCATAACCACCAACCTTGTCGTAGGCGCCGTTCTCGACGGCAATGACCTTCTCGACACCCTCAACCTTGGCCGCCTCCTCGGCAACGGCCTTCACATTGCTGCTGGCGATGAAAGCATGGATGGGACCACCGAGCTTCTGGGCCGCGGTAACGGCGCTGAGGGATCCCGGGTTGAGCTTGCCATCTCTTTGCTCGAGGACGGCGAGGGCGGACAGTAACCTGCGGAGCGCGGCGGGGGATCTGAGGGTAGTGGAGGCGGTAGTGAACCGGGGACGAGTCAGGGCCGAGAACGCCCGAGCACCGGCCGACAACATTGTGTATGGATTTGGGTATGTGGATGGAACGGCGTCCGGAGGGCGGTTCGGTGGTCGGAGGAGCTGGAAAGTTGTATCGGAGTCGAATATAGATCTAGTTGATCTGATCTCGACGACTGACTGTGGAGCGACGAAGGAACGGAGACGGGGGACGGAGGACGGGGAACGGGGATCGATCGGGGACCCGGTGACTGGGTGAGCAATGAATCGATGCCAATGACGCTTCAATGGATCGACGTGTAGGCCTACGACGGCCCGAGGTACGGCAGTATGCAACTGAAAGTAGGTGGGTCAATGGCGACCCCCAGGTCCGGGGCCGCTATGGAAAGGTAGCACACAGCGCTACAGCAGGTCAACCCCTTGTAGCTTCAGCAAAGAAACAGCGACTATCGGCCAAAAGCGGGCGGGGTGGTGGGCAACTTCTTGGCGGGGAACAGCCCAGCTGAAATTCACAGTTTCCATGCAGTGTACCTAGACGAGAGGTAGGCATGTGGAGAAACCATGAATATGTGGCTAACAAAAGTGTAAAATGTGGCTTGTGCCTCAGTCAAGACTGGGTGACGCCGTCTGAAACTAACTCATCCGGAAGTGGCTGGTCTCTCGGATCTTCACGTGACCGGTCCCTTCTCACTGAGCTCTGGCCTGCCAACTGAAGGGACGCATTGAGGTGAGCTGCGGCGGGCACACGCCTGCCTGCTGTCAACTCAGCAGCTGGGCCAATTCACTTCACCTTGCGTGGCCAGGCGCGAAATTCATTTGTTGCATTTTCTCCAACGCGACGACATCACGAACAGTCCCCCCTCCCCGGACAAGACCCATCGCAACTACAAATACTTTTGCGCCCCAAACCATCGAGTTCGATTTCCCTTGTAATACGAGATTGGCCCTTTACAACTTCACTAGCAAATACAACGCCACACAAATCAATTGCGTCCATCTTCATCCGCTCCCTCGCCATCGTTCAAAGCCCAAAGCAGCCGCCGCGTGTTTGTTCGCTCACCTCATCCTCCTGCTATCTTAGTCGCCGTCGCCGCCATGGAGGAGGGATCCGTTAACTACGGCACGCCCAACAATGGCGCGTCGCCAAGTGCGAATCCTATTCTAGCACAGCCACCTTTGCCAGACAGCACCGCTGGCAACCAGAGCGAAGGTAAAGCCCGTCTCTGCCCATTTCCCTTGAGACATCCCTGGCTATCGCATGTCGATCTTGTAGTTT